ACTCTTTAACTGATTAATCTTTTTCCATAAAATTATACATTACTTTTCGTCATTATTTCAAAGCTATTCACAAAACATAGTTTGAATTTTTAAGGAGAAAACTTTTAGTATAAATTAGAAAATTTGCTCTCTTAAAACAATATATTGCTGTGATTTTTTTTAGTAATTCAACGTTAAACTAATTATGTATTTTAAAGGACGTTACATGATGAGCTAAATACGCATGCAAAAATATTTCCCCTGTTTCTGTGTGGCTTTTGTTATTCAGGAAATCCCAACTATACATGTACATTTGTATTAACTGAGCGGAAAGGTGGAAGAGAATATCACAGACAAACTAGTGCGAGATCCAACATAGTGAGGTTTTGGTTTTCGTGATTGGTTGATAGTATCATTCTAATCTGTGTCTTCGAGACGTGGAAGTGTGCAGAGCCATTTGTAAATAACGCATGCGTATACAGTACTGCCTATATATATATACGTGTTTGTGTTCAGCTGAATGGCGAAAGAATAAGTTAACAACAATGGTTCTATGGCCCTCACGTCATTAAATGCGGATTAAGGCGACACAATGAGTGAAATATACCCTACAAAACGTGTGTCTTATTCAAGGTGCGTATACTTTACTTGAGAATTTATAATGTGATAGTCAAATCCCATTACTCGAATAGAGAAGCCCAATAGTTGGCGGTGGGTGCTGTTGACTAGCTACCTTCCCTCTAGTTTCTCATCTGAAAGTTAGGGACAGCTAGCGCAGGCAGCTGTTGTATAGCTTTGCGCAAAACATAAAACAAATCTGTATCGTTTAAAATAACACTAACTATATTGTACGATGCTAAATTTTTTCTTGTTTAGTATTCCTGAAACGTTTCATACGTGAGATTTCCCAATGAAGAATTTCTGAATGCTGACAGTTTATTTGAAGTTTAAGTATATTGAACCATCATAAAATATCAATTTATCTTCCAATTTTTGAACTATGCAGGGATAGGAAAACGTGTATAACTAGTAACTTACTGACGTATCTAAATAAAAATATTAGGATAAAATTATTTCAAATAAGCATTCATGTTAGTTGCCCCTAAAAAGCTTAGCGGTAAATCAGAAGGCTTATTAACACTAAAAACCGGTTTTCGATAGCCTCAGTGGGCACAGTACAGATAGCCCATTTGTAACTTTGTACTAAACAACAAAAAATCATGTCAGTCATGTTGCATAACACTCAACATGATTTAATATATACGCTTGACTTTTTCTATATCTGATCGGCCTGGCATATCGAGTGTTATCTGCGATTTCTGTTACGTGTGTAAAAATGGTTTCAAGTGATGGATAAAACATAAAAAACAGTAGGCTGGTTTAGAACAAAGCCACATTGGGTTATCTGTTCTGTCCCCCACCAGGAATCGAACCCCCAATTTTGGCGTAGTAAGTCATTAAACATACCTCTGTTTCACCGTGAAACGAAAACAGAAGAAGGAAATTAGTAAATAAGAACACATCTTAACCCAACAGTTAAAAAAAATGATTTACTGCAAAATTAAATTAGTGAGAATATAATTATTGGACAGAACGAATAAAACGCGTTTATCAGTTACGAGTTGTCCAAATTTGATGAGTTTATTTCTCCATAGTATGGATGTTAATATACCATTTCATATATATTTACGAGTAGTTAAACGTTCACCTTAAACATAGCTTAGCCAGTCGTATTCTTGCATATCTTTTTCTACAAATGTAATATTTTTTTCTGTTTATTTCTTGTGGTTTCAGCTTATTCCTAATCGTTTTTGCGCTTTTTGTTTATCCGGAGAGTGGGAATGGAAGCATACAAGAAAATAAAAGTACCCCTTCAGTCACAGCAGAAGAAATTCGGCGAAAATGGGATGCAGTGGAAATCGTTAGAGATTTAGAGTAGGTAGTTCTAACAGTCTTAATATAAAGGGTGGTTTAAAAGTTAGCTAGTTCTAACAGTCTTAATATAAAGGATGGATTTAAAAGTTAGATAGTTCTAACGGTTTTAATATAAAGGGTGGTTTAAAAGTTAGCTAGTTCTAACAGTCTTAATATAAAGGGTGGTTCAAAAATTAGGTACTCCAGAGTGATGTACTACCTTCTTAACTTTCACCTATTTCAGATTAGTTTACAAGTATCTATGAATAGTACGTAACATAAACATGACAAAGGACCAACGAATTTTGGTGTTGCAAGTAAAATGTTATCCACACAAATTAGATTTAATTGTGGGTTAACTGACTTTTACTTTATTTTGTAATTCAAAGCCATTTTAAATGTGTGTTTCCATTTATGGAAAAACGTATTTCGCAACATTTCATCTTATAAAACCAATAATTATAGAAAGTAACGAACATCTTAACAGGCCTTGAGCAGATTTAATGTAGTATACGTATATAACAGGCCTTTATTAAGCATTTTTAATGTAATAAACGTGCATAACAGGTCTTGAGGAGGTTTAACACAAATAATATTTATAATAAGCCTTGAGAAGATTTAATGAAATGAAAGTTTATAACAGCTCTTGGCCACATTTAATGTAATAAAAGTATATAAAAAACCATAAGCAGATTTATCGTAATTAACGTCTATAACAGGCCTTGAGGAGGTTTAACACAATGAACATCTATAAAAGGCCTTGAGCATCGTTCAAGCTCAGAGCTGGACACACAGGAAATGACGACACACTCGTCTAAACTAATAGTTACAAACAGGCTAATTAACTAAGCTATTTTACTTTAATTACAAACGTGCAGATGAAAAGTACATTTCGAGTAATGTGACTTAAATATAGAGAAAATAAATCATGTCAAGATAATCTCTAGTTCTGTCTGTGTTGTCAACACCAATACATATAATTTATAAGATACGAATACATTAACTAATAGGGTAAAATGCTTATCGATGTGAAGGAGTTAATGGTTGGCGAATCATAATTTGTGCCTCTACATCTATTTGTTTAACAAAACATTTAATTTTCGTTTAGTAAAGACATTTGATACAAAAAAATGTAGTAAACAGTATAATATAATTTTTCTTCTGTTTCTTGTGTTTAAAAAAGCCACATAAAAGAAGACATGAATAATATTATGGAACTCCAGGAAACGGGAGCAATATCTCCAAATGACTTTTTATTTTATTTCTTTCGGTAAGTACAGATTTTATTATGGTTAATACTGGTTTCATGGGTAGAAATATGTTCCGTATAAATAAAAAAAATCATAATCCACAAGGACCGACTGCTGTAAGTGTTTTTAATTGTTTTCTAAATTTGTTAATTTAAAAATAAGGCTGACAAAGCTAACTGTCTATATATTCTTATGAGCTTCACTTAGTGTATCAGGGTTTATCGGCGTTTTTCTTTGCGTGCACTAATTACACGATAGTGCAGCCATCTGTCGTAAATTTATCGTATTCAAGCTATAATATATTTTTATTTCCTGCTACAATTTACAGTATGCACGACTTTGATGACAATAAGATGTTAGATGGTATAGAGTTGATAGCCGCTGTTCGCCACTCTTTCGACCACTCGAATCAACCAGAGGCTGGCATGCCGTTAGATGAACTCGTTCGTAAGTATAAATATATGTTGGGATCTACAGCATATACACATATATGTTGTAGAAATTGTTACTGCCATAACTGTCTAGAAATACAACTATATAGAAAAAAATCTTGTAGTCACGTTTGATTTAAGATACTTGTTTCCTGTTTGATATAAATGACCTGTTAGCCTTTATCACTGACATAAGTAAATAGATAACGAATTTTAACGTTCGGTTGATTTCTCTGCTTGAGTACAAACCTACATAATGGACTATCTGCGTTGTGTTCGTCATGAACAATGTTCCCTCTAATTTCTTCAATCCATGTACGGAATTAATTTTTTCATGTGCATCAGTATCAAGGCGATGTGCGCTACCAGATCATTTTTTTAGACCATCAACCCTAATGAATCATTAGGCAGCTTTGCAATGCTACCAGTTGATTATTTGGGCTTTAGGCCTATCAACTGCCAGGATCATTGAGGTCGTCAACGTATTGAGACTCCTCACGATTACCGAAGATGTGCGCAGCATTTGATTTCTCGTTGTGCAGCCGCTTAGATTAGAGGGAACACTGGTCATGAAGACCGAACTCCAAATTTAAGCGTTAAAAGTCTTTAGGCTTACTACTTAGCCACTTTGGTACATAATCAAAAGAACCGATTATCTTTGACAATAATGTGGTGTTATTACAAAGGACTTATTGTACTGTTAACATTAATTTACGTATATAAATAAAGAATTTATTGGTCTATAACTCCATATCAGTGATTTAGGCAGATAAGATTTAGGCTTAGTACTCTTTAACAATAATTTAGGTGTAGATACAAGGCTTAGTAGTCTTTAACAACGATTTAGGTATACAGATACAGGGCCGAGTAGTCTTTAACAATGATTTAGTTGCATAGATAAATGTCCTAGTGCCTTTATCAATGATTTAATTGTATAGATAAAGAGCATATTAGTTTAATACTGATATAATTGTATAATCAGCATATTAGTTTTAACAATGAATTAGGTATACAAATATATGGCCTAGTAGTCTTTAACAATGATTTAGGTATACAAATATATGGCCTAGTAGTCTTTAACAATGAGTTAGGTATACAGATACAGGGCCTAGTAGTCTTTAACAATGGTTAAGTTGTATAAATGAAAGGTTTAGTAGTGTTTAACAATGATTTAAGTAAAAAGTTTTATTTTTTTTAAGTTGCAGTCTTCATATTCAAAAATCGCGAAGTATCTTCCATTCTTACTTCTTAACATACTAACTACGAAAGAAACATAATACCTTGTTTGTTAATCGTGAATTATTTTAAAATATATCTTCGGTCTTGTTAAATATATTAAAATCATTTTTAAGAACCATCACAAGATGTAAGTTTCAGGTCTTATTTGTATTTTTTTGCGGATTTTAGATAAATAAATGAGATTGTACTGCAATTGAGTAGAGGCTGAATAACAAGATCGAAAATGTATACAATTCTCAGGAGTTCACAATCTGTAATAATGAAGTTTCACACCTCATTAGCTAGGGGCCCTTTTAGGTATAGGGTTTGTTGATAAATTCACCGGGAACAACTAATAGAAAAGTTCAGCTTTCCAGTCAATTCAGATACTACAGTTCTGCATTGTTTATGCACCATATTTTGTTGCTAGGTGTACAACCCAGAGAAAATTAGAGCTGGAAACACTGGGCGTCTTGGTGATGTACATTCTGAAACTCACACAGGAACAAAACGTAAAGATGTTATTTTTTAAGAGAACACTTAGAGACGAACTCAGTTTTGGATGTTTTGACTATAAAAGTGTTCGGAATGTTAATATCGAAACCAAAAAAATCACAAACTTTTCTTGACCAGTCAGTCATATTGTTGTGCGATTAACATTCTGAGCAGTATTTATTTATGAGAGATCGTAGCAAGGGGTGGTGGGGGAGAGCCAAAATAATATTTTTTAAGTTTTGAAATATTTTTCACATCGTAAAACAAACCGAGTTCGTTTATTACAACGTTTACTATATATTTAGTGTAGCTCTACATATATGAGATTGGCGCCATTTCTATCACAAAGACACAGATTTATTAAGGTTGGCCTGGTGGTTAGGGCGCTCGAATTGCAACCCACGACCCGTGGGTTGTGAAATCTTCCGCCAGACGTACTCGTCCTTTCAGCCACAGGGTGATATAATGTGATGGTCAATTCAACTTTTCGTTGGTAAAAAGTTAACAATAGATTGTGATGACTAGCTGCCCCTCCCCCTGCCCCAGTCTATCACTTCTAAATTAGGAGCGTCAAATTCAACAAACAAACTTTAAGGTTATCCTAATATTACTTTATGCTAACAAATTTACATCAATCATGCATAAAAACAAAAATGAGTGGGATGTTATATGAGTGGTCTAAACTTGTGGTCACTGGTATACTTAACTGAGGTAAACATATTGAAAAGATTACTTTAAAAATAAAATAAAACAAATATTTGTTTCCTTATGATTCAGATAAGATTTAATTCGCTTTACCTGCGATTTGTTTGTGATTTTTCTAGAAATAGTTGATTCCTTTTTCAAATACGACGACGACAAGAATGGATTTTTGACATATCCAGAGATGAGAAAGAACCTTGGAGACACAATACAGACCGATGAGGAGCAGAGGCGATGATTCCCTTCCCCCGTGAGACATCGGTAAGTCTACGGACTTACAACGCTAAAATCCGGGGTTCGAGTCCACGCAGTAGATAGCTCAATGTGGCTTTGTTCCAGAACAAACAAACTAGACAATTTTTTAAAATTTATATTTAATTGTGTTTTCTGTAAAAAAAATGATTGTGGCAATAAATACATTGTTTTATCTTTAACCAAAGCACAGCTTTCAGAAGTACAATAAACATTTTAAAGAATCAATATTAATCTGATATCTAATGTTTATCAGTGCGAAAACGATTCATTCCACTGTTTTTAAACCGATAAGAAAGACATCTTTGTTCTAGAATTTCTCTACAAAAAAGCGTATAATTGATTCTCAAAGATGTATGATTTTTAACTAATAATCAAGGAAAAAAGAAAGACAAGAAAAATTTGTTTTGGAAAGATTAACCTTAAAGTTAAGAAAGAAAGGAGTTTTCAAACACTAACTTCGTACAACTTCTAGTGTGGTCAATCCGGAAAGTATAATAAATCCAGAATTAATACAGTAGCAATACGCTGTTGTTGTGAGTATTAACCATAACCGTTGTTGTTGTTGGTGTGTTGAGTGATCAACTAAAACGCGGTACTTTTCTCTCTCTCGATAAAACAAAATCATTTAAGAACAATAAAATAAAAAATAATCATTATTTCCCGTCAGATGGCGGGCATTCAGCTTGTCTGTTATAAAATTCATTCCTTTTATTTTACATTTCACTTATTCGGTAAACATTTTGAGTGATGGAGTTTCACAAAAACAAATCTAGTATATATGTATATATATATATGAACCACTAGATGTTACCATAAAACCAACTTATTGTATCGTGGCTTTTATAGCTAGCGAAAATTAATAGATTCCCAAAATTATATCTAAATAAATATTTTATGAACATGTTTTCTAAAGATAATTATAATCTAGTAACAATATATGTATGGAGAATGACTATCCTATTACTAGTATTTCACGAAATCAACATCTTTTATATATATATTTGGTCATCTTTAAGTTTTGCTTGATTATCATTTTGACTTCTGTATATCTTTAAGTTATGTTTGAATGTTCTTCTTATTTAATTTATTGATTGAAACATGCGAAAAAAGTGATTCTCAAAGATATATTTCTCCTCGGTCAACTGTATGACCCCGGAAATTATTAATTGTGACGGTAAAGGCAGTGAATTTTAGTATGAATTTCGGGGTCGTCTCTTTGGACTGTCTTCCTGGTTTTGGCTTTGTTAGCCTGCTGAGCTGAAAAAACGTGCTCTATTTGGGACATTTTCAAAGTTGGAATGTGACGAGGGTAAAACATGCGGGTTATTATAGAGTTGTAGCCGAGGGGTCCGACTGGACATAATTTGATGATGTTGCATCAATGTGTCCCCTTGACAACCAAGCAAACGCAATTATATTGTGTTATAATAATTCGAATTATATATATATTACAAAGTCCAAGGGAGACGGAGTTTGAGTATTTTATATTAAAATGCTTTTGTAGCCTCAGCACGTCTGGACAGGCTCTATCTGACGACTGTGTATCTTGATAACACCCCTGCAGCTTATTGTATATTACAAAAGGATCCGTTGTAAGGCAGTCATATGTAAAGCATACTTCTTTATCCTTTTAGTTTTTCATATGTTACCTAATGCAGGAGGACAACGGTTTTCCAGCAGTCGTTTCAACATTCCAATCACAGAGAAGTTCATGGGCGCTGCATCCAGTGATTTGACGGTTATGTCTTCGTATGGAATAGCATTAACCCGTTTAATTCTCCAGCTTTTCCAGATGTAGATCATTCTTGATTATGTTGTGTACTGTTTTTGCCACTGATATTTGTTTTTGTAGCATATCGACTATTACAAGACGCCACAATCTACTTAATATGGCTTGAGTGCGAATAGCAGGTCTCTTTCTGGATAGTTCTGGTACCCCAAGTTGATCCATATTCCTTTGTTTTCCAATGCTGTTAAGTACAAAGGATATCTCTGTCTTGGAAATTCTAAACCCCCTACCTGACAAATCTTTATGATGTGAGTGTAGGAATATTTTGCAACAATATCCTTAAATATCTCAAACAATATCCTTAAATAATAGTAATTGGGAAAATAGAGAATTTTTACTATTTCATTTTTATGGAAGAAAGAATAATTGGTGTTGTCGTTTTTATAGTTGGTTCTGCCAGTAATTAATCCTATTATCTAAAAACAATTACCTGTCTTTAACGAACTAATAGTTCTAAAGAAAGCAATAAAAATGATTTTTATTATACGAAATATTTAATTTATTGAATACATTAAAATAGAAAGTCTCTTTATTTGCTTCACAAATTCGGGCAAGATAGATTAGAAGAAAAACCAAGAAACAATCTTCCATAACAGTTCAAGATATATTTTCTGCTAAATGTCGATAAATAATTATTGAAATAAATATATATCCAAATAAGTGAATAAATGTTGAAGTAACTTATTTATACAATTATTTGGTTTTGTTTCCATACTTATTGATTCGTTTACATACATATATATAGATATTCATTTTCTTTTTTAACATTTATGTATTTATTTATTTCAACATTTTTCTTTATAATTATTTTTTCTTATTGAGGGTACAAACGTTAAAGTGTACTTTTGTAACAAATAAATGACCCCCAGTGGCACAGCGGTATGTCTACGGACTTACAACTCTAAAAACCGGGTTTCGATACCCGTGGTGGGCAGATCTTTGTGCTTAACTTCAAACAAACAAATCAATGTTAACTCTACAGGCCAAAATTATGTTAAGAACAGTTGTTACTGACCTTTAAATTTTTTTACTCTAATACATAATATGTGCCACATAAATGTTGACAACCATTTGGATTTGCACACTTGAGGGTCAAAGAGTTTAAATAGAGCTTGTCAACAACCATATTTGGATTCAGCAAGTCCAAATTATGCTAAAACCTAATGTTATAGACCTTTAACTGACAAGAAATACCTCCTAAAGTTGTCTTTTCTGAGATCCTAACAACTCTAAGATACCGAACGTGGCCTAATGACTATTGTTCTTGGCTGTGAATCGGAAGGTCCATAGATCGTACCATAAAGCCGCTTATAACGCGCTTCGTATTTTCAGATAAGAGTGTGTTATAGCCAATCCTTTAATTTAGTTCAAAAATCCGAACAATGCCCTAATGGCGGTGGGTGCTGCTGACTGGCTGCCTTCCCTCAGGCCAGTAGTTCAAAATTAGAGATGTCTTCACCTAAACTCTAAAAGAGTCTCAGACCTGGTCGTTTATCCCATAAGGTGTCATTCAGGCTCAAAATACCAATAATTGTCCAAAGTGGGGAACATTAATCATAACATTATCTGTTATTATAGTGTCAAGAAGAAGGAGGATGTTACCTGGTATTGAAACTTCTTTCAATTGGTGATGGGTGTTATAGTTGAAATTATCTCTGATTTTATATGCAGGTTTTATCTTTCTAAACAGTACAGTTAATATCTGCGTAATTTTAATGGTGCGCTTTAATAGTCAGAATTCGGCCCAACTAGAAAAACTTAAGTTAAATAATCTTAGTCGATAAAAATTACGATAAGCTATATTTGATTGAACTGAGAGTTTAAATAGAATGAATCATAAAACCGAGTAAAGAACATGAGTTTTGAGATTTCCGTTAAATATCGATAGAAACTTACATAACGAGTTTGCATCAAATCTTTGAATTTTGACTATATTTAGCTGTGCCAGTGCTACATATCCATAGAATAATAATATCTTTGGGGGATCTACAACTGTGAACGTTTATCGTGATTTTGAACAAATATATAGCAGAGCTTTTCCTAAGGATTTGTTCAACTGTACAATTATTTTTTAACACATGACGCTTTATTGCACCTCAAATATACAGGCCTAGTAACAAATGATCCAAAAAATGAAGAATATTCTATTAAATACATTTATTTATCAACAACTTTGGAATGGAATTTTATAATCTTAAATATGTTTTTTTAATATTTATGTACTTGAAGTTACCTATAGAGGGAAATTTTCAAATGTATACTTGGAAAACCCCTGACTTAAATAGCTTATTGGTCTAGAGATAATTAACAAAACAGTCCAGTTTGTTTTCCATAACTAGATTCAAAATGGCTGGTAATCACATTAAAAAAAAACCAAGAACATTTCCCCTTGATGAAGATATTCCACGTCTCCAAACGCACTAATGGTGAGGGTGCTCAACTCGCAATCTGCGGGTTGTGGGTTCGCAGCCCCATCGTCGAACATGCTCGCCCTTTCAATCATGGGGGCGATATAATGTGACGGTCAATCCCACTGTTCGTTGTTAAAAGAGTAGCCCAAGAGTTGGCGGTGAGTGGTATTGATTAGTTGCCTTCCCTCTAGTTATTCACTTTTAAATTAGGGACGACTAGCGAAGATTGCACCCGAGTAGCTTTGCGCGAAATTCAAAACAAGCCAAAGCGTTTTGTTGGGTTTTTGTTGTAAGACATTTGTCAATTTCTTTAGGGCAACAGTGATAATCTAGAGAATGATATCTTTTTTATGTACAAAACCTTTTCACGGTTTTTAAATCTAATTCACTTTTATGAAAATAGTTTTTGCGCATAGAAAACATCAAACACGCACTCAAGATGTAGCTTTTGTTTCTCTACTTTTTTTGTAATCGCATGGTAAGTTACAAGTAGCTTTTCTTCAAATAAATTATTTCCCTTCTATTGAATTTTAAAAGGATTTTGCTAACTGATTTTATCCCTCCCCCCAGAAAATCACCATAGAAAGTGTACTTACTTAATATAACAACTGACGTTTCTAAAACTCATTTTTTTCCTTTCCTGACACACAAACAAAACAAAAAAGATAAATTTATTTTTGGCCTATATTCTGACGCCTAATAGTTGGGTGAGTCAGATGGATCTCTTGAGTAAGAAGCTTAATTTCAAACTTCTGCCCACAAATATACTGATTCGATTCATAATTAGATTAGGTTCTTGGAGAGACCAATATAAGTACATAAAAGTCTGTAATAACTTTTTACAGATTAGTTGTAGTCCTTATACCTAATTGTAAGTGTTCTTTACTTGAATTATTTATCACTGTATATTTTTAAGCGCAAAGCTATTG